AAAATGTCAATCGATCTAACCAACGACGATTCAACACAACGTTCGTCTGAAGCGTTCTCGTCTGTTTTACGTCCTACGGTGGTATCACCTTCAGTTGCTCGTGAGACCTATACATCTGCCAGCATCAAACAACTGCTTATTCGCGGCAAGAACCACTACAAGGTTTTGCCGAACCCCAATAAACGTGCAACTGCGGCCTGCTGGGCTAAATTTGGTTTCCCAGGTGTCCGAAAAGATAACGAAGAAAATGGAGAATTTAGCATTATCATGGGTTTTGCAAGTTGCAACGTCTGCTTCGATACTTATCTTTTCAACGATTCTAGCACTACTAATTTAAACAACCATCGATGCTCACTGGATGAGCGACAAAGTCGACTCTCATTTAATAGTTCATCAAGTCCTGTTCGTAATGCCATTGGTACCAAAATAATTTCCAAGAAGAAAGACAATTTAAAAAAATTATGTGCTAGCTGGATGGCTAGTTCCATGCGACCATTTTCCATCGTAACAGATCCTGGCTTTAAACATATTTTGCAAGAATGTTTGACAATAGGTAAGTCTATGAAGTTCTTGTATTTGAATGATCGATTTTCTTTTCTCAACTAGGTCGTGAATTTCGGGCACAAGGTGAATTATTAATTGACGATCTTCTTCCATCTGATCGAACTGTTCGCAACGAAGTCGACCGTGCTGCCGAACATGGACGTAATATTCTTAAAACTAAATTAATCGCTGCAGCTGAAGATTATCGTTTATCGATTAGCCCCGATATTTGGTCTGACAGACATCGACATATTTCATACTTAGGTGCTTCTGTTCATTTTGTTGACGAGAATGGGTTTTTCCATTGTTTCGATCTTTTCTGCACCGAGTTCAAATGGAAGAAAACAGCTGCTAATGTGTTGAACGTAATATATTGGTTTCTAATGTCAATCAATAATTTTTCGCTTTTCTTTTAGATTATTAAAGATGAATTAGCTATTTTTGGTTTGACAGAACTTATGGACAAAATTACATTCATAACTGACAGAGGTTCGAATTTTATAAAGGCATTGGTAGCCTTCAACGTACTCCTCTGTGTCGCCCATCGACTGAATAACATATTAAAAAAAATTTTTTATCAAGAAACAAAGAAGAAGCAAAAGAATATTTCTCCTGCGAAACTCTTATCTATATCTACTAGCGTCCGTCGAACTGAATTAACTCCAACAAAAACTGAAACGACAACCATCACAACACGAGCTCTTACTCAAGCTTCACCAGAATTATCAGACGAAGAGGAAGAATTAAGAAATGCTGCTGAAACAGACGATTCATCAGACGAAGAGACCGACACCGATGATGAGGAAGTCGATTATACTGCCGCCACAGTTGATGATATACCAGTGTCTGCAAAAGCCATTCTTGACGTAATTAAAAATTGTAAATCACTTGTGAAATATGTTAAAAAGGTAAGACGCTTATTATGACTTAAACACTTTAATAGTTCTGTTTTTCAGGCAAATCTCAATCGCCAATTACAACTAGAACGTGAGAAGCAGAACAACATCGAACAAATCAATGATGACAGGTCACCATCAACAACGAACAATTCTACTAATGCTGCTACACTACACCAGTGTTCTGTCGTTCGCTGGCTGTCCTTGTGCGATTTGTTGAAAAGCATTAAAAAAGCAGAGTCCGTTCTTTTTCAAGTATTAAAAGATCGTCATCAGAAACAAAGATTGCAAAATGTAAACTTTGATCTCGTCGAAAAGCTCATTCGTTTCCTCGAACCGTAAGTAATTAATTGACTCTTAATCTAATAAATAATAATTCTATTTTTATCAACAAAAGCTTATGAATGTATATGCGCTATTATTTCCTAATTTTTTTTCAGATGGAGAAATGTACTCAAAGAAGTTCAAATCGGAACTGCTCCTTCTCTCTATTGTGTTTTACCATGTATTACTTATCTTCGAGAACAAATGATCAATGGGGAGAAAAAAGAAAAAGGAGGTAAAATAAATGTTCTTGTGTTTATTTCCATCTAAATTATTTTTTAAGGAATCAAATTCTTCTACAAACGTGCAGTGCAGTTACTTGATAAAATGTTCACCATGGAAGACGATTATATTCGAGCTTCCTTTTTACATCCTAATTATAAACAATTGCGTGGAGCAACGCAAGAACAAATCGAATCTTGTTATAATTTTTGTCGAGATTTCATTTTACCTTCTAACACGATGAATGATTCGATTAGAACTGATGAAAACATTATTCAACCACCTGCAAAGAAGCTCAAGTTCATGACACAATTAATGGATAAGAAGGAAACAGAACCAGCATCTGCTGATGAGATTGATCATTATATTGCACTTACAGTGGAAGAAGAATATACAGATCCTCTGGTCTTTTGGCGACAAGAACGTAATCAATTGGCTTTTCCAACATTATATCGTCTTGCTAAACGCACATTTGCAGCACCTTGTAGCTCTGCCTCTGTTGAGCGGCAATTTAGCGCCGCAGGTCAAATCATAACACAAAGACGCTCGAATCTCGATCCTTCAACGGTAAACAACTTAATTTTTTTACGTTCATTTGAAAACAACAAATAAATAATCTATATTAGAGTTTTTTTCATTCATTCTTATGACTTTTGTTAATTTTGTTATTTATTCTCGCTCTTAAATAAAACTATATTTATAAACACTTTTTGTTTCAATAAATACTTGGTTATGCGATCCGAGTCGAGTCGAGTCGAGTCGAGTGAATACCTGTGCCGAGTCGAGTCGAGTCGAGTTAGGATTTTTCCAAATGTCAGTCGAGTCGAGTCGAATCGAGTGAATACCTAAGTCGAGTCGAGTCGAGTCGAGTCGAATCGGATTTTTTTGACTCGTTTCGGTCTCTGATGAGAATTAGAATGAATCTAAGTGTCATCAAAGAATTGATGATTTTTATACAGTGAGTTCTTATATATTTGAATTTGATTTGAATTGGTTATTTCCTTTTGTAATCGCTCATGTCTACAAAGAGATATGCGTAAAAATTGTGGTAAAATTTCTATGAGTCTTTCTTCATTACAGTTGTTCAATTCAATTGATTTCTGAAAACATCGATAGTGTCTATATCTATCTATATTAATCGTCTAATGAATAACAACTGTACCGAAAAAATAAATGAAATGTCATATACAACGGCTTATAAAATGTATATAGTGGATATTTTCCTCATATTAATATTCATTGTTTCTATGGTTGACATGAACAGTTTTCATTGTTAGCTGTGTTGAAGAAGTTAATTCAAT